TATTCCCAGTTTCTAAAAAGTGAGAAAACAGAAGCGTCACAAGATTCTGAAATTTGTCTCCCATGCCCCCACTCCCCATCCACCAGCCCTTGAGATAAACCCTGCCCTCAGCTCAATGCTGTCCTGATGCAGGGTAGAAAGGCTGCTGGAAATGTGAGAAACAGCTGCGGGAAGGGGCACAGTGGAGCCCCAACTCTGGAGGTACCACTGACTTGAATCAGATAGTTTGGAGATATCCAGGTAGTTCGATTTACTCCTCTGTCCACTGCTTCCTCACTCACTCCTCTTTCTCTTTCTCCATGTTTTCTTATCAAAAGGCCTTCTGCTCTATTTTAAAAAATGAATAACATCTGGATCTAAAGCATTCTGTCAAAGGGCAGGAGGGGAGAGTGGAAGCAAAAGCACTAATCCCAACAGCGATGGTTAAGATACAGGTGTGACAACTTCCCCTGGGGCTGGCCAGAGTGAAGGATCCAGTTACAGCTCAGCTTCTTACAAAAGTCAATGTCCTTAATTCAATACTCTGCTTCATACCTCCTATGGTTGTGACGATGAAGTGAAAGAGTGAATCTAAGTCTTTTGAAAGCTGTACAGAGCTACATCTATGTCAAATGCCCAATTCCTCAGCCCTACCACTATCACCAGTTACTAGGCTAATCTGCCTGCCCCCCCAAAGAACATCCCAGGGTCCTAGGATATACTTTTTTCTTCCCTTGATGTTCAGCTTTGACATTCTTTTAAACGTGATTTCACCTTACTTGAACTATTACTGGGGGAAGGGGGACAATAATGAAAGAGTGAATGGGATTTACCCCAAGTCCTATATAGGCCCATAGGGGTTAGAACCCACATGTTTACTCTGGTCCTTTCTTTTTCTTTTTCTTTTTTTTTTTTTTTTTTTTATATTCCCCATACAATTGCAACCCCCTGATTTTGACCCCAACCCTTCTTTCCCTGCCACCTCCCACAAGTGTGTCTCTGGTTTATAGTTGCTTGTTGATTTTGATTTTTTTCTTATAGTTATTCTTTTTCCTGGTCCCTTATTTAGGTTTTCTAGATTCCTGTTATGAGTGAGACCATCCGGTATTTTTCTTTTTCTTTCTGGCTTATTTCGCTGAGCATGATCCCTTCCAGCTCCATCCATGTTGCTGCAAATTGCATGAGTTTATCTTTTCTGATTGCTGAGTAATATTCCATTGCGTATATGTGCCACATCTTCTTGATCCAGTCATCTATTTTTGGGCATTTGGGTTATTTCCATAGCTTAGCTATTGTAAATTGTGCTGCTATAAACATAGGGGTGCAGGTGCTCTTTGGAATTAATGTTTCTGTGTCCTATGGGTAAATACCTAGGAGTGGAATTGCTGGATCATATGGAAGCTCTATCTTTAGTAGGTTGAGGAATCTCCACACAGCTTTCCATAGTGGTTGGTCTGGTCCTTTCTTTTTTAAAAAAGATTTATTTATGTGTACAAGAAACTGGGGTGTAGGCCAGAGGTGTGTGGGGGTGGGTGAGAGGATTCACCAGAGAGAATGGGGAACAGAACAGGCAGATCTACTGAAATACACTGCAGAGGGGAGCAGCAGGTGAGACAGGAGAGGTCTGCTGTGCCATATGGGTCAGCTCCTTAGCCAGGATCGAACTAGTGCTGCAGTGGCTGGTGATAGCTTGATAGTGCTGTGTTTTTAACTCCTGTGCCACCAGGAAGGCCCTATTCTGGTCCTTTCATAAGTTAATCAGAGCAGGGTTGAGAAAACACTGACTGATATAAATGCAGAAACCTAGTCTATTGTGACATCTGGGAACCAACGTAAGGGCCAATTACTAACTGGAAGCACTGACTTCTAGCAAGAGCTTCTACAATGCAGAATGCACATCAATATTTGGGTTGAATTTAATGTTCACCTCCTCTCAATAGCTCTTATGAGATTTCAGATGAGGTAATTTCCCAGGTTCAGTTCAGAGATCCTGATTAGAACATGGGGCACATTTTCTGGTGGGAAATTACAAATCTAACATACGATCATTTCATTTCACTTTAGGGAGTTTTCCTTGAAAAGTGTTTATAATTCTGGAAGATTGATTGATTGCCCTTTAAATTTCTCCATGGTTTTTCATTATGATCACTAATTTCAATAAAAACTGCTTGAAGATTTTTCCTTTTACATTAAATTTTAGCCCTTTTATAGACAATGACAATTTTAAGGCATGACAATATTGTTCTAGATATTATAGCTGAAATAAATTACAGCTGAAACATGGAAACCTTCACTATGCAAACCTGAATTGCATTTTGGAATCATATATGATTGGATGACTGCCAAAGCACTGGGCTGCCTTTCTCACCAGAGTTCTTGTCTAAGACAGCAGCTGCAGGGAAGATGATGAATTCTGTTTTAAACTGTCCAAGTTATATGAGAGGACATTCTAACTGTAATTTTGGGGCACATAATTTCTTTGAGTATCTATTCGAGTTTCTTTATCTGTACAAAAGAAATAATACTTGCATTGACTACTTCACAGGAGTGTTGTGAAGAGTCAAGTACATGAGAACTTTTGTGAACTCTAAGTCAAATTGCATGTGCTTTATTATTAAGTAAAAAATAGCTTATATCTCTACTGCAACCTCGAGTAGCATAAGAAACGCTTGATGTCTCCAAACTAGACATTTGCTATCTTTTGAAACTAGGTCCTTCTCCAGATGTTCTGTTTATGCTAATGACACACCCGCCCATTCTCCCAGGATTCAAGCTTAAAAACTAGAGTTATACTATACCTTGTTGTTCTACCTACTCTGATCCAAGAATGATCAGTTCTTTCCAAAATATAAATTGGATCAGGTCAGACTGGTTCAAAAATCACTGAAAATTTCTAATAGTTCTTGGAAAACAGAATCAAAAACAGTGAAGTCAGCCCCAAGATCCTGTTGTCCAGCTTTCCCTTCCCCTCATTAGTCTGATGCTCCCCGCAGTCACTCCAGCCACACAGCCTTCTTTGGTTCTCAAAGCCTCGTTCCTCAACGCCACAGCTCCTACTGGAACCCCAGCCCCAGTCATGCTTCTGCCATCATCTCTACCTCCTCTGCAAAGCTACCCTGCATCACTGGCATTGCTCAAACTCCACTGGATTGGAGGCACATAGAAAAATATCCTTTTCCTTGGAGACTTACTGTCATGTAAATAGTATGGGAAGTCTCCCCTGCCTCCTCAGTTATAGAGTTTATGACAGCAGTGGTTCTGTTTTTACTCCAACATTGTAATTCCGTGACTAGCACATAAAGGACAGTTTTGAAATGAATGAGTGAATCCCTCAATCATTCTCTTTTTCTAAATATATATGTAAATATAATATATAATATGACAAACTGAAATATTCCTTGTACCCAAATGCTTCCTTCCCCACCTGCCCAATTTCTTTCCATATGATAGTTTAGCAGACATCTAAGGAATGGAACATGCCACTTTCCATGTAATATTTATGATACAGTAAAATAATAACTGGCATCTATTTTAATTACTATTTTAATATTTTGTATTAAATACTTCTGAAAAAAATATGTTTTAGGAAAGGTTTGTAATTCAAGAACACAGATAAGAACATATATGAACTACTGTTGAAGGGGATTTGTTGCTGTGTTGGCCTTCATTTTAGGGGTGTTAGATAGGGGCTTGGTGTCTGGAGAGAGTTGTTATCAAACACACTGAGTGCAAAGCAGGTCTGGGGAAACTTAGGTGCTTCAATGCAGATGTGAGGAAAGTACCCTGGGATATAACCACATTTTAGAATTTTGTACCCTTAAATATTTTAGCCTCATTTTTATAGGCATTTATAAAGCTTCTTCACATGGCACACATAAATGAAGCAATTGAGTACAATAGTTAAGGAATAACCTGGGGGTGGGGCAGATCTAGTTTTGAATCCTGAGTCAGCTCTTTACCAACCACAGAGACCTTGAGCAGGTAGAGCACTCATACCTACTTTCAGTTTCCTTACCTATAAAATGGACAAAACAGTCCCTGCTTTATACTGTTGTGAGGATTAGATGAGAGATTTAGCAGTTTGCTTTGCCATTTTAAGACCCTCAGCTTATTAATTATTAGAGTATTACCATACCATGAAGTAGGCAGGAGAGATAACTGAATTGCTGCTTGCTAACCACAAAGGGATCAAGGACACACACAGGCAGTGACTAGGCGCTGAAGACTTGAATCAAGTCAATCAACTGCAAATCCCCTGGTAATTCTCAGGGTAATTGAATTCCTGATAAGGAAGGCACTTTCATGATATAGCTGTGTTGTTCTTTCAAACTATAGTCCAAGAAGCAAATTATGTTTGATCTTTTAAAACCACCTGAAACATAAAATTTTATACTCAGAAACCGAGTATAAAATTCTGTTGTTTGAGGGCAATAGCTGTCCTACAATCACAGGAAGGATTTATGAGGAGAAAGAGCTACTGAAGTTCAGTCTTCAACAAAAGCAAGAAGAGTCAGTGGAACATCATCTAGATACAAACATGCCGGAGTTAGAGGATAGCAAATTACCACCCACAGGCCAAAGCTAGCCCTCTGCCTGTCTTGGTAGGTGAAGTTCTGTTGGAGCAAGGCCATGCAGTTCCTTTGTGTACAGAGCAGAGAGCAAATGTCCCACAAAGCCTTGCATGTTTACTTCTGGCATTTCACAGGAAAATATAGTCCCTGTTACAAAAGACATGGCTGGGAAAAATAAACTCCGAAATTCTCTTAAAATGCAGAATTTTATTCCGAGAGTTCTTTCCTCACACCTTTAGCCCCATGAAAAAGGGATAGTTTACCTTTTTTTTTTTTTTTTATGAAGTAGCAGGTGAGCCAAACCTCCTAAAATGAAATAAACAGCTAGGCCTTCACATTGTAAGGGACTTTTCCCAGAAAAATCAATTTAAGATTCCACGCATGTCAATGACCCCAATATTTCCCTCCCCCATTATGAAATTCCTCATGTTTACAGATATTAGGACTCACTGGAATTGTCTGTCTTTCCAGAGTGGGTGCTGATCTAGCATTCTGCTTTGGTTCTTCCTCTCCTGCTGCTTTCTTACTGATGTTCTGAGTCTCCCAATTATCTGGAGTCTGCAGATCATAGCTATGTGATGCTGTTTTCAAGATGTTCGTGCATTCTTTGGACTGAGTTTTTCTGGAGAGAAACAAATAAGGACTTGCAAAAACATTCTTCAACATGGAAAGATTTTGCAAATCAGATGTCAACATTCAAATTATGTGAAAAACAGTAATAGATACTATGTACTTAGAACTTACACTACACTGAGCCCTTTACTAGGTTTTTTTGAAGAATTAACATAACCCTCATGTCAACCCTATGGGGATTGTTATCCTCATTTTGTTGTAAGAGGCTCGAAACAATTATATAATTTCTCCAAAATCACTTAACAGTATAGTCAGATTTGATCCCAAGTCTGTTCAACTCCTGATTCAGAAACTAAATGGCTAGAGCACACAACCCTCTCACGATCAGACAATTCCTGTATGTCCATGTGCCCACGCATGGTTTTAAAGTTATAGGAGTTTGTGGGCATTGACACCAGCTGGGTTGGTCTATGTTGTTCACGGATGACTCTGGTGAATCCAGAGATCCCTGGGCAAGCCACATCCAGATCAAACTGGAATGACAAATGGGGCGTGGGACAGGTGAGTTGATAGCATTGTGTGAAGGAAGAAAACCCCCAAAAGTCTAAAGAAACTTTCCAGAGAGATCTAAAGTTCTTTTGAGCTCCTCAAATACCACTCCATTCACTGTGGGGAAGGGGCTTCTTTACACTGTTCCGTAAAGCCTGGCAGCCTCTCACTGACTTGCAGATCTCATACCTGAGGTCTTCTGCATCCTGCTTTGCTGTCAGCTGGGCCCGCTCAGCAAGAATTTCATCACAGAGCACATCGTAAGGCTTATCTAGATGGTGTTCCCCCATCACCCAGACCCAGACTTCCTTATCGGCTCCCAGTTTCCAGTGGACAGATTTGCCATTTTCTGTAAGCAAAACAAAACTTGAATTGAACAAATATCTTCAATCATAGATCATGTCTCCCATTATTAGACAGTTTAGGTCTTAGGGGGAGAGTGGGAACTACTAGATGAGGCAAAGCACTTCCACCCTGCTCAGGAGCAAGTCCACCCCAGGGAGCAGTGGGAAGGGCAGCAGCAGGAGAGGCCACAGCAGTGTTGGGTTTTGCAATTCCCCATTTTATAAATAAAGAAGTTAAGAAGCAGACACACATTGTTGGCATTATCCTTTAGGGTCACCAAGCTAACAGATATCAGGACCTCTGAAGTCTAAGAATCTCCTATAACCCAGGAATACACAGCTGCTCCAGGGGTTGGTGTTTCTACTCTCCTTTTAAGGCTCATTGCTGGGTAAAAAACATATGTTTTAGAGTTAGATTGGCTAGAACTCAAATTCTAGCCTTGCCCCTTGCTAACTGTGTGACTTAGACTAATTATTTAATTCCTTTAAGCCTCAATTTCTTCATCTGCAAGATGGGAATATTAATATGTACTACCTAGGATTGCTGAGGGCACTGGGCAGGTGAGGTGCACCAGGTACTGCCCTAGTGACTGCCACATAATAGCAGTTCATGAGGGGTTAACTGCTATCATCACTCTCCTATTATTTACATACATGGCGACTCAGAGATTCACACCAGATTGTGAGAAGAAAGTACTATGGGCAGTGTGATAGCTACTTGGTGAAGTTACTTAAATAACCGTTGTTTGCATTGGTGGCTGGGGTTGTATTACATCCTAGTTCCCATGCTCCTGAGATGTAGACACACAAGTCATCCTCCCTGAAAGCTGGGTAAGATGGGGCATATCTAGGAAAGTCAAGAGGTGCAGTCCCTAAAGCTAAGCACCTAGAACAGACCTTCCTGGTAATTGTGGTTCATAGTTGATTCCTGCTGAGTATATGGAAAAGGGTACCTGATGGGAAGCTGGGCTAGGCTGTGCTTACAGGATAGGAAGCCCCACTAGGCCTGGATCTTATCTTCTTACACACAGTAGAAGAAGGTTTCCAAGTAAATCATCTTCTGTCCACTGTGTCCACTCTATTGTTAACTTCTAGAAAGCAGGCTACTCAAAGTCAGATTTGTTCTTTATGTTGGCCCACTCCCCTCTCTCAGTGCAGTGGAGACTTTCTGCAGTATAACAAAATTCTAAATAAAGATATGGGATGAAACCAAAGGCAAGCCCTAGAATTCTGACTGTGAAATGGAGGCTGTAAGAGAAAGTCCCCCCAGTAGACTCTGGTGGAGGACTAGAGGTGACTTGGTGGTGGCTGTGGAGTGGTGACATATATTTAAGGATGTGTGAGCCTGTGTCGCTGAACCACAGTATTTTAAACAAATGTTAGTTCAATGAAAGAAAGAAAGAAAGTAAGAGAGAAAAAGAGAGAAAGAAAGAGAGAGAGAAAGAAGGAAAGAAAGAAAGAAAGAAAGGAGGAAAGGAGGAAAGAAAGGAAGAAGGAAAGAAAGGAAGGAAGCAAGGAAGGAAGGAAGGAAGCAAGGAAGGAAGCAAGGAAGGAAGGAAGGAAGCAAGGAAGAAGGAAGCAAGGAAGGAAGGAAGCAAGGAAGGAAGGAAGGAAGAGAGAGAGAGAGAGGACTCTCTCCTGCTGCTGTCCAAAATGCTGAAAGGAAAGAAGGCCAGCGGGAAGAAGGTGGTCTCCACCCTGCCAGTGTGAAGTTGCAGGAGGCCACAATGTGGCAAATCTCATTTGAGAAGAGACCTAAGAATTTTGGCATGAACAGGACAGTCAGCCCAAAAGGGATCTTAGCGCTGTGTCAAATGGTCCCCTACAGCAGGCTGCAGTGGCCAGGGCCATTCTCTATAAGCAGCTGAGAATGTACCCACCCTGGCCCCGCAATTAACCAGTTCACTAGGCCTTGGATGGCCAAATAGCTGCTCAACGGCCTCAGCTGGTCCCCAAATACGCATCAGAGATCAAGTAAGACAAGAAGCAAAGATTGTTGGCCTGGGTTGAGAAGAAGCTGCTGGCTCAGGGGATGTCCCCATGGAGAGGCCACCTATCTGTCAAGCAGAGGTTAATACTGTCCCCACCCTGGTGGAGAACAAGAAGGACCAGCTGGTGGTGACGGCATGTGACATAGTCCCCAACAAGCTGGTCATCTTCCTGCCTGCCCTGTGTTGGAAAATGGGGGTTTCCGACTGTATTAACAAAGGAAGATAAGGCTGGGGTGTCCAGCCCACAAGAAAACGTGTGCTGCTGTCACCTTCACACAGGTTAACTTGGAAGACAAAGGGACCCTGGCTAAGCTGGTAGAAGCTATCAGGACTGACTATAATGACAGATATGATGACATCTATTGTCATCGTATAGGCAACATCCTTGGTCCAAAATCTGTGGCTCATATTGTCAAGCTGGAGATGGCAAAGGCTAAAGAATTTGCCACTAAACTGGGCTAAACATATGTTGTTGCATCTTCTGTAGACAAAAGTGATCGATATTCTCCTTCAAAAAAAAGAGAGAGAGAGAGAGATGGGGTGAGGAGGAAAGTGGCGGGGAGAATCAGTCTTCACCATAAAAGGAATCAAATGTACCACTCAGAGAAACTGGTCTCACCCTGTTTTTACAAGTGGACAAACAGCATAAGTGGCACCCAGGTATGAAAGGAAAAGCAACCCCAGAGTGTCCTCACGAGCTGTTCCTGCTAGCTCCAGTGTTTGAGGAAATGCAAGTGGTTCATTAACTTTAGAAAGCTGCCATACTTCATAAAACTCCGTACATTGCACTCTCAGGGCCACTAATAATACTTTTTACTATGTCCATCTCTCAACCTTCATCTAAATAACTCTACTAGTACTGGAACCAAACTGTGTGGGTTTTTTCTAAAGATTTATTTTTATTTATACAAGAGCTAGGGTACAGTCAAAGGCATGGGAGGGTGAGAGGATTCACCAGAGACAGAGTGGAGAATAGAACAGGCAGACTGACTGAAATACACTGCTGAGGGGAGCAGCAGGCAAGGCAGGAGAGGTCTGCCGCGCCGTGTCGGTATCTCCCCAGTGGGCCAGGAATTGAACCCACACTGTAGAGGCTGCAGAGAGCTTCACAGCGCTGCGCTCAACCTGCTGCGCCACTGGGGAGGCCCCCTCTACTAGTACTTTTTGACAGCAGGAAGACACCCAAGAGGTGAGTGGCAGAGTGCCAGGGTGTCAGGAGGAGAATGAGGACAGTCCAGCAGCTCTGCTTGGTGCAGTGCGGTGCATGCCCTCCCAAAAACACCTCCTGGGAGCGCTTGGGCTATGGGGTAATCTCAGAGGAGAAGCCGCTGCTCTGGGGGCCAGAGGAGTGGGAGAGAAATCCTAGCATCGCTTATGAACACAAGAGGGTGCTTAGAAACTAAAAGTAGAGAAGAGACCCAAAGGAGAGGCCCAGGATGTTGAAACTGTGAAGGAGGGCGAGGTCAGAGTGTGGAGAAGATAAGAAACAGTGGCTTCTTTCAGGCAAGAGGACGGAATTTGATACAGAAAATCAGATTGAGCCAGATGCAAAAAAATGGACTCTTGCCACAGCAGTACTCCATCATCCCTATTCAAATTGTTCCTCACCAACAAAGCTCTTAAAAGGGATCTGTAAGCCCAGATACTGGAGGGGCTTTTAATGGTTCCACTCGAGTCCCTCCTTAAGGTTTTGGCAGGTGGGGAAGTCATTGCCGTAAACTGAGTGTTGTCTCTGCACCCTCAGTTGCACACCAGCATGCAGGAAGACTATTAAGGCCTCTCTATAAAGGGGTGTGCCGGGCACAGGCAAAGAAGACAGCATTGACAAGAAGAGCTAGTCTTCTCAGTGCTGAAAAGTGATATGTGTAGGACCCCGCTTCTCTCCCTAGCAAACCCCCTTAAGAAAAAGGTACAAAGTCACAGGACCCTGAGGTAGGCACTGCCCCTTGCCTTAATTTAATGCTGTCCAGACATTGGATTTTCTGTCTCCTTCACCTTGAATTTATATGCACTCTTTAATAAGAGGAAATTGAGAGAGGGAACTTTTTATAGCACTTCCATTTAATTATAAGTTTCCTCCAGTCCTTGAATCATATTTATATACTGCAGTGTTCATCGTGTATGCTATCTTAGGGTTCTTGAGTTCTTCTAAAACCAACTTTCTAGAATAGTGGGTCAGTTCTGCTTGGTACCACGCTACAGAGAACCACTGTCTAATGACTCTTTTTTTTTTTTTTTTTTTAATTTTCTAGAGGCATGTCTTATTTTTATTTATTTATTATTTGTTTGTTTGTTTGGTTTATACATGCACTGGGTACAGTCAGAAGCGCGGGAGGGTGAGAGAATTCACCAGAGCCAGAGCAGGGAGCAGAGCAGGCAGAAGGACCGAAGGACACTGCTGAGGGGAGCAGCGGGCGACAGGAGAGGTCTGCGCGCCATGTGGGACCCTCCTCCGGTGGCCGGGGAGCAGCCGGGGATTGAACCGGCTGCAGAGGTTGCAGGCAGCTTCGCAACCCAGCGCTCAACCGCTGCGCCACCGGGGAGGCCCTGTCTAATGACTCTTATCCATGCCTCAGTCACCATATAGAATGCTAACTGGGCAGAGTTGTGTAATATCACATAAAAACAGGATGACGCACATCCTTGGCAAGGAAACGGCCAGGCTGATTCCAGTCTTCTATGAGAGCCTGGCTACTCACATCCCCATAGTGTCAGATTTCTGCAGGGGTGGTTAGCCCAGCAGGGGTCTGGGGCTGCAGGCAGGACCCTCTGCCCCAGTGCAGGTCATGCATCTTTCAGGGCCCGCAGGGGCTGGGACTGTACAATGCACAGTCAGCACCACTCTCCATTGCAACTGGATTCAATTGGAAGGACAAGAATATTATGAGATGTGAGGGGCTAGGGTAAGAGAGTGTTAGAGATTTGTCCAGTCTGTCCCCACAAAGAGGAGACCAAGGACTGAGTGAACAGAAGTCGAGGAGCCTCAACAGCAGGGGCCTCCTAACAAATGTACATACTAAATGCACTTAGGGTGTCATCAGGGAAGGTATAAACAGGGTAATGACCAATACCCAGGTTTTAAAAATATCACTATATTTGAGTTCCCCAAACTTCCAACATCCCAGCATCTCCTACCATACCAGCCTCTCCTGTAGAATACTGCACCGCCTGAACCAGACACTAAAGAATGCCTGGGTAGCAGTGCCTGCAGGCGAAGGGTGCTATGCTCATGTCCCTTCTGATGGATGTCTGTGCCACACATGCCATGGAATATTTAGAGTATCTTCTAAGGTTATTGCCCAAGTTTACAATGAGAAACTTGAGACTCAGGGAGGTTAGTAACTTGCCTAAAATCATAGAGCTAGTGCAATCAGAACCAGAACTCAAAACTGCAAAAATCTGTGTTTAGAGCAGCCTCATAATGTGACATCCAAATTGTAGCACTTCTAGGAGCAAAAAGGGAACCCAGCAAAAGGGACATCAGGAAAGGAATATAAAAAAGGCTTGGCTGAGCCAATTGGGATGTGTGGAGTCCTCGTCACTTTCTGTCCTGCCCACAGATCAGGATGGGGGAGGGGGGGGTAGATCCAGCCCAGGTGCATTTTAGTGAAGGCCAAGGTCAAGTCCTGTTGAAATGACTCACCACTGTTGCTTCCTCCATCGCTTGCTAGTTTTGTATAATCCTGTACTTACTAACACTAAAGTGCATCTTTTAAAATGTAAATAAATCTTTATGCTTATTTTAGAGGCAAAAAGACTGAAAGGATGTTGGGGAAGCCAAACCCAGTTACAGGAGCAAGCTCAGAGTTAGAGGGACAGATACTGAGGCAGGAGGTGGGGCCAGGACCAGTGGTTCAGAACAGACTTGGAGTTGAGCTGGACATGAATTCAAATCCCAGCTCTCCCAGCGACCCACACAAATTACGTTTTCTAAGATTGTTTCCTTATTTGTAGGAATGTAGGGCACAACACTGGCCTCGCCGAATTTTTATGAGGATTAAATAGAAGTGCATAAATATAACACAGACATCAATGCCTGGCACATACTGATGGACCAGTACTGTGGTGGGGGAAAAGCCCTATGGAATGGAGTGGAGCAGATGAAGTAAAATCCATGGAGTTCAGGGACTAGGTGTGTGGTGAGGTTGGGAATAACCAAGGTGGCTCCTGAGTTTCTTGCTTTAGTAATGAGGAGAAAGCCACACCCCTGGTCATGACAGAGAATGAGAGGCAGCCTCAGTCCTGGGGGTGATGGGGAGAGTTGGGTGATGCTGATGAACTGGATTTGCCTCAAGCTTGCAGCACTTATGAGTCATCCCAGTGAGATGCTTACCAGGTAACTGACACAAGACCAAAGTGCAGGTGAGAGGCTGGCTTAGCAATGTGGATTGGAGAGACACAGGCATAGTGTGGCAGGTAACCCTAAAAGGCAGAAAAGGGACACTGGGAAACAATACAGGGATCTTACCCATACCTAGGAGCTGTGAACCTATGAGTCTGTGAACATTGTGAAACTACACAAAATGTCTGTGGGCATTTCCCAGCACCTAGTTTTCAGTAAATTTTCAAATGAATCCATGAGTCCCTCTTCCATATTTCAGGGTTACAAACCAGTGCAGAATGAGGCCCCCCCTCAGAACCCTGGATAAATAGGGTCAGACAGACATGAAAAGGAAACTGTCGTGGAGCAAGCAAATGACCCACGACACCGAGACAGAGGCTCTGAGAGGCAGCTCAGCAGTCCTGACACTGAGGAATCTACTGATATCAGACCATGTCTGGGAGTGGAGTCACCTCAGCGGGTTCAAGAGCAAGGAGAGGAGAAAGGCCTGGTGGGGGAACACAAAGCAATAGCTTTATTTATTTCTAATGAATGAGAAAAGGCTTTGCACAAGAAAAGGCTTTGCACAGCAGAGGAAGTGTCATGAGTCCCAATCTGTTTCAAGGATACACAGAGGCTGCCCTGCACCGCACATAGAGATCAGATGCTAGCCTGTTGTGTTAGGTTTCCATCAACTAGAGAGATCTGGTGAAACAACCCTCTGCTAAGTGGAGGCCCTCCTCTGTTTGTGTTACAGGAAAAAAGTCATACATGACACGTCTCCATGGCACAGCCCTAATGCAAGCACGTGTTTAAATGTGTGCAAACACCTACAGACAATAGAAACCATTATGAAACTGCAGGCAGCACATTTATTAAAAGCACTGGCTTTGGGACTGTCTGATGTGGAATCTAGTCCAATTCCACCACTTACTGTTGCTGACCAGGGCAAGTTAGTGAGTATCCCTCAGCCTCACTTTCCTCTTCTGTACAATGCGAGCAGTTCAGCTTTAGGCTTGGTTGTGATTATTTAATGAGTTAATATATTTAAGACATGAGCTCAGGCTCTGATACAGCGAGCTACTTTTACAGTCTAGAGCAACATGTCCAAATGTGATCTATATCCATGTGTATACATTTTCTAGTAGCCACATTAAAAAATCAAAAGAAACAGGAGAAATTTAATATTACATATTTTATTTTCCCCAAATATTAACATGTCAATATGTAATAATATAAAGTTATTTTACATTGTTTTTTCCCTAAGAAGGCTTTAAAAGTGGTAATTTGCACTCTGGCACACTCAATCTAGATTAGCCTCATTTCACATCTCAGCAGCTGCATGTGGCAATGGCTTCCATTCTGGATGACGCAGCCCTAGACCTTAACCTTTACTTAACCCCAGCAAGCAGAGCAGTTCATAATTCTCTCTGCCTCAAAGAAGCACATTTCCCCACCACATTGTGGATGATTTTCTGATTTATCACTCAGTAAGTCCACCCTTTTGATGGTTTTTCAGTATACCTCCTACTGTAGCCTTACAATTACTAAAAGGTTGAGAGTTTCCTGGGCTACACAACTTGCAAATCCTTTTTGGAAAAACTCACTATAATAGACTCTATATTTGTAGAGAAAAATAAATACCAGATGACAATGAAAGAGCTGTTAGTGATGCTCTAGAATGGTGTAAAGGAATGAGGGTAGACATAAGACATTATTAGTGAGGCAAGAAAGGTACAGTCTCCAAAGCCACAGCAGGGCTGAGAATTAAGAAGAATGTAACCCGGTCAGTGCCGGCTGGATTGGGTAGGGTGGGGGAGGCAGGGAAATAGGCTTAAAACCAGAAAAACATATGGTGAGGCCTCAACAAACAGTGGCCATGGGCTTAATGGGTCCACAGCACAAGGGAGATTTTGGGAGCACCAGCCATGATAATACCACCTTGGACTATCTGTGATTTTTATCTTTAAAGACAGAAAACAATGAAAGGTAGAGAAGTGCTATCTTTTTAGGGGAAATTGTAGGAAGAACCTCAAACTTTTTCTATAATCAAAAGAGAAACTAATTGAGTGCAACATTTATTTTTTTCAAGTGTTAAATTTAAGGGGATAATAAACTACTGACATGAAATTATCAACTGATAGAACTTCCACCAGGTATATTAATATGTTTTTTCATGAACCTTAACAAAGTAATATAGGTTTTCTGAGAGGCAGATTCAAAACACTGCAAAGGAAGAATTGAAGCAAAGAAACTGAATTACTATCTTAAGTTACTGCAAGGAGTCCAAATGTAAAATGCCCAAAGTTGTACTCTGGGCCACTGATACTGGGGCAAGAATCCTTCAGCCTTACTCATCCCCAAAGTCACCCACCACATTCATGTGTTATGTTCGCTGACATGGGGCCCAACAAGGCCCTGTTATAGCTGGCAAACTCTGACTTCAGTTGGGACATGTTTCTTGTTGAAGGAAAAATTCTGTTTTGAGTGGTGTAGAGTACTGTGAAGTCCAGCATAGTAATCCAGGCATATACTGGGGTGTGATCTTGCATATATTTACTCTGCTGATTCTAAGTTTCTCTACCTGTAAAACAGGACAAATTGATAGCAGCTTTGTAGTAGTTTTATGAAGATGAAACATAATGTATATAAAAGTGTTTTGGGTAGTGGCTGGCAAAAATAGGTATCTAATAAATAGCTGCTTTTGATAAGAATATAATAATAATGAATGAGATACTCATGTATTTCCATATCATTTCCATACCATAACGGCTTATTTAGAAAAAGATTTTAACAAAAGGCAGTAGAATCTAAAGGTTACTGCACTGGCTTCCTTTTTGAGTCTGTGTGTATATACCCATGCAAGTGAAACCCTGAATGCTTTTATCAAATTTTCATTTTCCTGGCTTAATGAGGAATGAGAATTTGGTCTTAAAAGCCTCTGTAAATGACCTTGAAGGCTGTGTGTGTGTTTTTTTTTTTTTAAAGCTTAGGTATTCATCCATGACAGAATTTGGGGTGGGGAGGGGTGGTTAATGTGTACTTTTCTAGGTCTGCTTGTGTATATGCTTTAAGTCTTGATACACAAAGAACTCCTCCCCTGGGGTCTCCAGAAACCCCCTCAAGCTACCAGTGACCCTGTGGTCAGGAAGGACACCTGAAAACTTAACTCTGCTACAAAATAAGCATCATGACTTTTTTCCTTGCAGCAGAATTTGATTTTAAGAAGGAGTTTCCCTGAAAAAGTCAACTCAAAGAAAAATCTCATGAAGTCCCAGAAATGCAAACATGATTGCTTTGAAGAGGCTGTTACAAGGATTTTATATGCTGAGAGAAGACTCAGTATCTGTGACAATAAAGGGGATAGAAACACTCCTTAATACCCCTGAAATCAAATTCAATGGGTAACTTTATTTCAGCTTAAGATCAGTCTGGCTTCAAATAAGAGACCCACTTAGAGAGATGCAGCTCTATGGCAAATGCTGTGCATGTGCATGTAAGTACGTGCAGGCACACAGACTTCAGGCACTATTAGCACCTCAACACCACACCAAACTGGAACTTGCACCTGCTGTGCTTCTAACTAGTGTGAAATGTTAAACAAGCTGGGAACCATTCTACTAACACATTCACACAAGTGTACCTTTCTTGGGTCTGGATTTCATTGGCATCGACTCCTTTTTTTCCATTGCTGCTTCTCTTTCTTTCCATCGGCGGATCTGTTCCTCCCTCATCTTGAGGAACAGGATCTGTTTCTGTTCTTCGCTGAGCTCTGCCAGCAGATCCGGATCTATGTACATCTGTGACAGTATCTGTTTCAGCATCTTTGCAGGTCTGGCGTCTTTTACACCTGTGGCAAAAGTTCTTGAAAATGGCTTCCAGGTGTGCCTTCCCTGGGTGGCACTTGGCTGCACCCTCAGCCCTTCCGGAGACTAGCGTGATCCTGAATGACTTGGAGGAGCATTCAGCAAACAGGCTCTTGGTTTCCAACACCAAACATCCTGATCAAAATGCCGTTCGTGGGCCTGTAAAGAGCAGCAGTCAAAAATCAGTCAGTATTAAAATGTGAAGATGCCGGGTAAGGACAGACTGAAGAATAAAGCTTCAAGGAAATAGAGTGTCGCTTTTCATTTCAGGGGAAAGAAGAAAGGCTGAGAGAGTTTTGTTAAGAGCTTGTGTAACCTCTATCCTATAATTTCCAAGAGATACTTTATCAAAAATAACAAAACAAACTCTAACTTTTTACAGGTCAGTCTCAGGGAAATAAAAAAATTGTAACACAGGTTTGGCCTACTCCCAGCTGAGCAAACATAACATTACCTCAGAGCCTAACAAACTACCAGCTGAATGGCTGATAGAGAATTAAAACAAAACAAAACAAAAAAAAAATGCACAGGAAGAAACTAAAAGGCTCTCTCTAAACAGCTTATTTCAAAAGAAAACACAATTTTTGAGATTTCAGAGAGTATAACCCCTAAACTAAACAGAATCGTGCTCAAAGAAGAAATAAAAATTCGACTACAATGCATTTTCCTACTTTCCCTTGAAAGTAGCACTAAATAAACACAATTATACACTTTCAGCTTCGCAAAAGGACAATGCCTACTAGAACCATGAAAGCAATACAGGTGCAGGAGAGAATACTCATGTGCATTCTGGAAGGTCACTAGGTATTAGGTGCACTTCCTCCAGATAACCTAATTTAATAAAATCTAAATTTACAGACTAGATAACTGGGTGAATAAGGGGTGATTAGGCTCATTACAAAGATGCCTTGCTTTAGTACAGACTTTATTATAGGGCTTTATTATGGGGCTCCCATGGAATCAAGCACAAGTGCTATCTACAGTGGTTCCATGGAGGGTTAGAGGGGTGTTAGTTAGCACGTCTACTGAGGTTTCATTCTACTTCACACATCTCTATTTTTTTGATTAAAAAAATAACAAATAGTAAGTCTTCATATTTTTGTAATCAGAAGGAAATATTTTTCCACTCTGGAGAAAAAAAGATTTTCAATTTGTCTCAATACAAAATGACACACACACAAAAAATTTACTGACTGCAAGTTTTCAGTATCCTCTACGTCCTAAGAACTTGACAAATAATTTGGTGCTTGCAATGCCTTAATAATCTCACCATCTAGCCATGCCACCTCAAATATCTTGTTTCTCCATAGCAAGCTCAAATACTCTTAAACTTCAGACTTGTCACCCTAACATATCTTGGCTCCTCCTAGTTCCTTCACCTTGTTGTTCCTCAGCCAGGCGATGTTCCTCCCATTTATGGGAAACTCCTTCAGCTTTCCCTCATCCTTGCAAGCCTGATTCTCCATTTACACCAGTCTTTTGAGATAAGCATGCTCAACATCTGAGGAACCCAGTGTGGTTGAAGTGCATAGTGCATAGTTCGATTCACTAGCTATTTATTGTATAGTTATTGAAGCTACCACTTTTCTTCCTAGCTGCACCCTGTAATCTCCTGCAGCATTCAACTACCAGAACCCAAATGGGACATAACATTAAGAGAAAATTTAGAGAGAATGAAGAGCAGTGTCTGAATCTAACTCAGCCAGCCATGCTCTTCCCTAACCGCCTTCCTGGCTTTGTATTTGGGGTTGAGGTGACCTTCAAAATCTGTAATAGTCACAGAATTGAGGTTTTGTAATGTCGTCTTGACTTTTAGGTCCTGTACCTTCTTGAGGGACAGGGCCAACAAAGTCCACACCGAAAGAGAGGTTCCAGGCTGATTCTTGTCTGCAAATGATAAGAGCCACAGGAAGTACTTCCTGGGCACACTTGACTCCAGTGAAAAAACTAGTGGTGAGAAACCACAATGAATGACTCCTTGACATTCCAGTAAACATTCTTACATCGGGACATTCCATGACTCTAGTGATTGATTTCACAGAAATAAAACATGGTAGAGAGGGAGTAGTCCAGGGTTTCTGCTGTCCCCATTTTGAATGGAGTGAATCCTAGCAACAGTGATGGTGAGGGTAAACCTTGACACCATCAAATCACATTCCTCCCCTCTTCCCTATCCAGATTGTCTGATAAGAGCTAACGTTCACTGCGCCAGTTACAACCTTCAGCATTTGACTTGTATTAATTCACTCAGTCTCTACAGCAACCTGGACTTCACTCCCTTACTACCCCACTTCACAGATGAAGAGATGGAAAGTGGCAGGGCTGGGCAGTCTGGTTCTGGGTCAGTTCTGCTGTACTCCTTCACCAGTGCAAAAGGTTTCTTGCTGAGCATAGAATCAGAACATCATCAGGATGTGGTACCACATGTGAAATATCAGAATGAAGACCGGCAAATTCTTGCAGCAGGAGAAAAGTTAACTGAAGTTTGCTGTACACGGTGCCTTTCTGAGAAAATGCCTCAGCAGGATAATTGGAGATGAACTTAGGGAAGGCAGACATTGAAAAGACCTCATCCCAAGAATGAAAGCTTGCAGCTGGCTGACATGCTGGCCCAGGGGCTAATGTTCTTTGCTCACTTTACTCTCTGGACACTTTGTGCCCTCAGTTTCCCTTTTATTCAACTACTTGGAGTGTCACAAATGGTCCAGCTGCTCACAAGTCCAGCAACACTTCTCTGATGAGACACTCAAGCTCTTTCACAATTTTAATTCTGTTTTATTTTGTAGCAAACATGAATTTTTTAGTATTCAAGTGGATCTTGAAGGACTGATATGGACTTCCCTTTGACCTCAGAGATACAAAGTTGGAACCCAGCTTACCACTGTCTTATATGATCAGGCTGCTGAATAACGTGCATGCTGTTCTAAGACTGCTGATTCCACTGCTGTGGAATTTTTCTTCCTGTCTGAGATGGGAAACTCAAAAACAGCAAACAGTATACACAGGACCCAGCAGGGACATCAGCCCGACTTCCAGCTCAGCCTCTCAGAGGCTGTGTGACTTTGGGCTATCACTTCACTTCTGGGGACGCAGTTTCCTCATCTGTAAACTAGGTCCTGCATTGTGAATGTTTGTTGAGGACTATGTCATATCATCTAGGGTAAAGTTACAGAGACAAGTGCAGCTAGGGGAGAGGAAACAGAAATGAGAAATTAATGCACCAGGGTTTTTTCCATTTTCACTCCTGACTGGACAGTCATTGCCCAGACTGACTTTCTCCTGCCTCGTGTATCAAGTGCAACAATCTTCCAGTTATGCAAGTGCTAACAAAATGAAAACCTCGTCCAACTTGGTTTTCTTCTTATACAGCATTTTGCTTAAGAGAGAAATAACAAGCAACATATCCACAGCTGCTGTTTATTCCAAAAACAAATTTCTGAAGGGTCATAGGATGAGTTATTTTCCAGGGTACCCAGAAATTTGGCCTGACTCTCACACCTTCCACATTTTTTCTTATACAAAAATAGTGTTTCTGAAGACTCTAAGACCTGCTATACAGCTTTAACCACAAAAATACTGTGATATGGACAGTATAACCTCAATGTTAAGAATATAGTTTGAATTCTAATTCTTCTAAAACACAGTCAGCTCTATTTTCAGACTTTCAGTTATCTTATTCAAGCTTACTTTATTAATTTATTTGCAGAAGGGCTATTTCTGAGTATAAAATGAATTACCAGAGATGAGAGCAACTTGTTAAATTTTGTAAACATATCCCATTCTTCATAAACTTGAAATTGCTGTGCTCACAGATTTACCTGGAAAATTCCATTCATTTGCCCAATCTTTACCCACTCATTTATTTACTTAAAAAATGTATCTAAGTTGTTCTATTCATCAGTTCAATCACACAAAAGCCTTTTTAGGTGAGGAAAAGCTTAGAGAGAGAAGGCCCTTGGGGAGGGAAAGAAAAATTCCAGAAAAATACAAATAGTGACTGCTCACTGCCTCTTTACCCCCATACCCTTCCAGCAAGAACCCCAAGATTAGGAGCATCAGCCATGTCCACAGGCTTGAAGAATGTCACTGCCTCCCTGACTAGGGCCGCCATCTGGTTCTGCCTAACAATGGACCTAGTGGCCAGGTGCCCCTACTTCATGTGGGCACCTCTGGGTGTGGGTGCCCTCGGGGTGCCCTCGCGCCAGGACAGCGCAGCGGGCTGAACCCATTTCCTGGACTCTGGGAGAAGGTAAGGGGCTAAAGTTGTTCCCACAGCCCGCCCCACAGGAGCGCAGGTGCTGGCTCCCCCAGCGCACCAGATGGGGCTCTGGTCACCACGCCCCGGGAGGCTGAGGGCAGAGACGCGCGGCCACTTCTAGAGTCCAGAAGCTCTAGACTGGCCTGGCGCCCCCCTCGCAGCCGCAGACGCTGGCCGGCCGCCGGGCTCCTCCCGGGGGTACCCAGCGGGTTGTGCCTGTCCATATCCCTCCAGGATCCCAACCCCCCTGCGAAGCCCAGAACTGCCTCCTCCGGGCTCCCCCTACCACGACCTCCAGCCCCGGGCCCTCCGGCTCCGCCGCTCACCTGCCCGCAGCTCCAGACACCCGATCCCCGACACCGGACCCGGCCCAGCCCCGCACCTGAGCCGCCCCGAGACGCAGAGAGGCCCCAAGTTGGGTCCCAGGCCCGCGCCTCCCGTCGGCGCTGGAAGATCGTCCCGCCTTCCCCCTGTGCCAGCTTCCCTTCCCCACCCCGCACCTACCTCTGTACCTGGGCACCGCCCTGGGCTCGCCGGCAGAGCGCCCCCAGCACCGGCCACGTCCGGGGGCGGCCAGGGAGGGGAGCCAGGGGCCGGCAGAGGCGCCCGCGAGTGGCACAGGCTGGCGGGACCGACACCCGGGCCGAGCTGTGGGCCAACAGCGCCCTCAGCCCCCGCCCGCCCGCGCCGCCCCACCCGCGGCCCACATGCCGGGTGACTGACTGGGTGTGCGCCCCACCCGGGCGTCTGGAGCAGCTCCAGCTTCGGCCTGGGCCAGGCAGGGCAGGGCGGCTGCCACCCAGGCGCGCTGTCCCCGCGCTGCCCCAGCTGCAGAGGTCCTGGGCCAGGCCACCGCCCTCCACCATCTCCCGCGGAACTTACAAACGTGAGGGGTGCGGCCCCCTCTCTGCTCTGGAGCGCAGGTTTTCTTGCAAGGTGGAGCCCTCGGAGGCAACCAGGCCCTTCTCAGTTACACCAGACTGGGTCCCGCAAGTCAAGTCTGCTCACCTCTGGGTTTTGCTCCTGTGTCCCCAGAGGGGGTTTTACTCCCCCGCCCCCTGCCCCTTTTGTTGACTTGAAGGAAGCCACCAAACTCCCTGGACACTTGTCTGTAAAGTGTGTCTTTGTAGGACAGGATCAAGAGGGAAAAGACGGGATCTATGGAAACGGAAAACAACAGAGATAGTGAGAGAAAGTGAAAAATCTGGAGGAAAAAAGGTAAATGAATCTTGTGAATTGCAGCAAGAACAGGTTGGGGTGGTGCATGTGGGGAGGAACTGACTGAGGACAGGAAAAACAAACCTCTTAGAGGAAAGTTCAGCAGAAGCAGAGTGGAAAGGTTGGAGGGCATTTTCTACCGTGAGGAACTTCCAGAATGCAGAGGAAACAGCCTGCTTAGGTGATCCTCCACATCGCAGGTGTTGGAGAAACATGCAAAAAAGTAGGCTCTTCCAGACATTCAGAAGGCTCACTTGCTCTTTAAAGGATGAAGCTTTCTCAGAAGCTGCAGAAGAGACTCAGTTACAAAGAGTGTTGACAAGGAGATGAGTCCTGAGACCTAGTTATTTAGGAACAAGTCTGGGGATCGTATCAGGAGAGAATTTCAGGTTTAGGCTTGGTTTATACTCCTTAATAAATGATATCCAGTGCAGTGTCACTTGCCTTTGGTTAACTGCTGTGGTCAATGCAAAAGGAATCCTGACAGCATGGATAAAACAATTGAAGAAGTACAAAGTGTGGATCATCAGCCAGGAAAAATTCCTAGGACAACGGCCAGGCACCTCCCTCCATACTCAACTGCTCTCTATATCCTGAAAAGTCTTAGTATTCCCACTTTGCTGGCTCTCTGTACCTGAGTTTCCCTCTATGGTTACTAGCAGGGCGTACCTTATTAAGAAGTTGTGAGGGTTAAATGAGTCAGTACCTATGAAGTGTTTAGAGCAGTTCCTTGTGGTAAGTGCTCAAACACACCATTTCACTTTATTTCACAATGCACACTATCATTTCAAGTTACTGCCTCACATGCCCCTCTGGAACCTACACTCTCTTAGCCTCAGTGATCCCCACCTCCTACTATGTTACTTCTGAGATTATGTTGTAAAAGACCTTGTTCCTATCTTGGCCTCTCCATCCACCCATACACACACCCCCTCCCCCACTGTGTGTGTGTGGGGGGGAGTATTCATTCTCAGGGGACCAACTGCTATGTTGTCAGAAGCTCTATGGAATGGCCGGTGTGGAGAGGAGCTGAGGACCCCAACATAAGCCCCAGAATGAGTTTGGAAAAGGATCCTACAATACCAATCAAAGCTTATGATATCTGCAGCACTGGCTGGGAGCTTCAATGCAAATTCATGAGACTACTTAGTTAAGCCACACTCAAACTCCTCTCATGTCTTGTTGAGCTACTAAATTTGTGTTGTCTTAAGCCTCTAAGTTTGGGGTAATTTATGACATGGCAACGCATAACCTATATATAACTCCTCACTGTTTTTTTTCTAAGCCTGTTTTAGCTAGCCCTCCTGTGCAGGAAATCCCATGTACTAGAAAGCTTGTTTAAACACAAAACCTCACCTCAGACTGAAGAAAGAGTATGTGCAAGTCCCTGGTATCTGCATTTTGAACAAGCACTCCAAGTGATCAGGTCAAAGATGGGGCTACAGGTCATGCTTTCAGAAACTCTGCAGCAAGCTCTCCAGGTCAGACATTCGTGAATGCGGTTGTCAGATCCATCTTTTTAAATATTAACTCTGATCTTTTATTTTGTTGCTAATTTATCTTTGATGCCCACCCTTCCTTCTTATCCAAGGTAAGACTTTCAAGGACCAGGACAATCTAACACTAATCTCCCTCAGCCATAACATTTTCCTAAATACAAACCCTGCATTCATAAAATCTGGCATGTTCCAGGCCCTAAACCTACACGGGCCCTGCAGCTCACACTGTAGCCTTTGTCTAAAAGGTCTTGCCCCACAACTTGGCTTATAAAAATCCCGCCTCCTTCTATCAGGCCTTAGGAAACCTTTCCTGCTGATCAGCAGGAAACAGTCCCTGCCTCTTTCTGGTGTATAGTTTTTGTATCACAAGTTAGGGTTTAACACGTCTGAGAACCACTTAATAAACCATTTAATGAGCACCGGAGTGAGGGGGCAGGGTGAGGAGGACAGATAGCAGACAGCTGGGGCCCTGCTACTGTCTTCAAGGCAGCACTCTCTGTGAGTGTGTATGTTTTATGCCCCTTTACACCTGAAAACATTTCGATAGCAAGAACTAGTCTTCTGCAAGTTTGATCTTTCCCAGCTCTCAGGCACCCAATAAACACTCAGTGCACATTAATTAAATGGATATTTTCAGCCCAAATGAACGTAGGCTGCACATAGTGTACAAATAGTGCAATCACTCACTCAGTGTGGAACTCAGTATCTCCTTCCTTTTCTCTCATCTCCTTTCCATCACTCACATCAGATGCTTCTTCCCTGTGTTTGGAAAGATCTTCCTTCTTCTCCACCTCTTGTTTCTGTAGTTCTCTCTCTAGCACTTTCCCTTTTAGCTGCCTTCCCCATCTCCCAGTATTCCCTCTTTCTGTTGGCAGAATCTGCAACAGAAAATGTACATTTGCCCCCTTAATTTCAAAAGTAGACAGTAGCATTTCACATTGTTCTAAAAAAAAATCCCAAGTGGCTCTGTTACTTTCTCATGAGGCCCTCAATTACTTTTCCCTCCTTTGGAGCCAGTGCTCTCAGTAGAGAAGCTTTCCCTGCTCCACAATATAGGGTGTGTTAGGGGAAGGATGGTGGCCTTCACATGAGACACTTTTGATAGAGGGGAGGTCTGGGTGACCAGGCTTGGCAGTAACAGGTGTGAGTATTTCCCTAGCTGTCTACAGGTGAGCCAGAGATCTGCATGGTGAGTATCACCTGCCAATCCCGGGGCTGTGTTCCAAGAGAAAAGCTAAATGTCTATTTACATTGGGGGAACAGTATGTCCTGAATGAACTCCATCCACTGATGTTTTATGCACTCCACCTCACCTCCACACCAAAGAGATACCAGGCAAAAAGGATTACAACTCCCATTATGCCATGGATCTACCTTGACCCTTGACTTCTTGAAGGGGGATTGCTGAGAACTAAGGGTGGACTTAATCAGTCATGCTTTGTATAAAAGAGACCACATGTGGGCCTGTGGGGGCTGGGTTTTGCCAGCCTTCAGCATGCACCCAAGTCCCAGCACAGATCGAATTACTGGTAAAATTAGTCTCTCTTTCGATGTTGCTCCTCTTCTCATTTCCCTTGTAAATAAACCTCTTAATAACCTTTTCCTGTGTGTCTGCCCTTGAGTCTTGACCTGAGTTTTTAGGCCTATGGGTGAGGACTCGCATGTAAGCCATCCCCCTTCCCCTTGGCTTGCCCTGTAACATTATATACTATTTTTTTTTAATTTGTCATTAATTTGTAGTAATAAGTACCAGGAAACAAATAGCCTGCATTTTAATGGACATATTTCCTGATATTCCTTTTAGAGTGTTCCTTAAGAACCCTGCTGTACAGAGCTGTCATGTACAGTCAATATGACATGGACCTTACAACTGTGGGGTACACTCCGTCAGTGCCCCTGGACAATGAAACAAGGCAATCTTATTGCTGCCAGGAGAAAGAGCCACTTCTCACTTTTCATAAGTAAAGGTGAGTATGTGTTTAAGTTCTATAGAATATGAAAGTTATCTTCAGAATTTTTTCTTTATAAAAGGAAATACTATAAACACCAATACTATTTTTCCTGTCATATTTTAGCATCAGAAAGCCCAACCACTTTTTTAATTTTCAAAGACGTTTTACATTTGCCCTACAAGGAATATAAAGTAGTTGTGAAAGAAAAAGACAAAACATTTAAATGTCAGTAAAAATGGATCAGATCTCAGTAAATTCATCCATCATATGAAAAAATGTATTGAAGGTCAACATACGTTTTCAGTTTTCTGCCAGGAATTAGTGCTTTTAAATTATTTCATTCACTTATGACTGACTCTATGTGGGCTTTTATTTTTTTTTTCATCTTCATAAGTATCAAAATAAATGATTGGCCATTACACTCAACTTTGAATTAATTAGGGTGCTTTAATTTCAATGTTTTTCCCTTGAATGAACTTTATGGAATTGTTTCCTTAAAATCCATGGTCTGGGTTACTTGTGTTTCTGTAATTTATTTTTATACAAGAACCTGGGTAGATTCATGGGAGGGTGAGATTCTTAGTATTCTGACACCCTTGCATCTTTCAGGCAGCTTTGAGTAGAGCTCCTAATACTAATAAAGCTAAAGTTCAGCTCTCTTAGTCCAGTTACACACTCAGATTTTGATTTCTCTAATTCTCTCATATGTACAACTTTTTTTTAAAGATTTATTTATTTATTTATTTATGCAAGCACTGGGTAGTCAGAAGCGCGGGAGGGTGAGAGAATTCACCAGAGCCAGAGCGGGGAGCAGAACAGGCAGAAGGAACGAAGTACACTGCTGAGGGGAGCAGCGGGCGGCAGGAGAGGTCTGCGCGC